CTGTCGTTTTCTGACACTCCACTTTTGGATGCTTTATTTCCCTTGAAATCTGGGAAAGCTGCAATTGATGTTGATATCATTTTGAAGAGCTTTTCCAGCTCTATCCAATGCTTAGCTCAACTTTGTCCTAAATATTTTCTTATAGCTTTTTCAAAGCTTTGAATGCGGTATACTCGATGAGCAAGTTGGCATGACTTTCTTTTTCTAGCTTTAAATAGACCTGAAAGTGGCGGGAACAGTTCAAGATATTAACGATGCACTTGGCCTAGATTTGCAATAAATGTGCTCAGAAGCAGTAGTTCAAAAAGTTATTGTAACGAAAGCGAGAGCCTTGAATATGATGAGAGTAGTGGTCGGATATCGGACGTTGTCACCGATTAGCCAAAAGTTCTGATTGAAGCACTCGTGCGTAAGACCATAGAGGAGGTTCTGCCCAACCTGGGCGTATATGGTTTGTACAGCCAAGCTATACGGAAGTAGCTGGAAAGTCCAAAAAATTTGATAGGGGCGTGCCGCGACAAATCACCAATTTGAAGGGTCGTCCATCAAATTGTCGCTTGTTTTATGTGATAAAAGCGACTCGTTTCTCTACAGATTTGCGACGTACAATAAAGAGCGGATTCTTCTCTACAGTCCACGAAGCTTTGCTGAATAGATCGACGGCGATGAAGCTCTACAAACTTTGCAGAATTTAAACTGTGCTGGAGGAGGGTTGTGGCAGCTTTCATGGGGTCAGCGGCTGGCCATGTTCTTCAGTATCAGGTGGAACTGTTACAGTGGAGAATCAATCTTTATATTAAGTCAAAAATCATCAAAAACTCTAAGACATGGGTCCAGCATTCCTCATTATAAAGGAACGCACACATCCCTGAAAGGTGTCTTGAACGCACATCGCACGGCCAACCCTTCACAAGTTGTACCAGCTAAACTTCAGTGTTCTAACGATGGTTCAGTGGAAAGTTTATTGGGAACAAAGTCCTCACCACCAAAACGATCTTCAGAGGCAAAACCAATGCTAGCTTCTATGACGAGCTTATATATTGCGTACACATTAAAATCGAAGCGAAAGGAAGGAGGCGTACATTTTCTACGAAAGCATGACAACAAATCGAAATCGAGCTAATGGAATACAGTAAACTGACAAAACAGTCGCGATTGCTCGCGACACTCCCGCCGCCACTAAGCAATAAACAACAACAACATTACTAATTAAGCGATCACTTGCGTGTTATCTTGACGATCTCCGACCAGCTTCTCCGCGCCGCGATGATGCCGCTGCCCTTGAACCGATGACACATCCAGAGCATCACTCTATCGATTCGTCCACAGAACTGACGAGACTGCTTCAACGACAGATCGAACTTTCCGACAGCAGGGAATACGAAGAGGAGCGGGTAGCTATGGAGGTGCAGCTTGATGAACTAGAGACGTCTGACGAAAGGCGAGCAGCGGAATAATCGGACGACAGAAATGAATACGTGGCGAACAGCGGAATAATCGGGCGTCGGAAGTGAATACAGAGGGGGGTAGCAGGTGGTGACGACAAGGAAACGTGAACTGGTTGCGAGCGCAGCCAGAGCACATTTCCGGGGCCGCGGCCGACCATTAAAGCTTGCGCCGCTTGGTTGAAGAAGCAGAGGCCTTGGCTGGGCAAAGGAGGACATTGTGACTCCCGCTGCAGAAAGAGCAGGAAATTCCGCAGTCTTCAGGATGGCGGGGCTGAAGGCATCTGTTGCAGAGACGGAGGTTCGAGGCTTGTACAGCGCGTGAGACTGGGTCTACGAATCTGTAGCATCGCCCAGTAGGGTGATTGTCTTTGTTATCCTCGTACGTACAGAAGACGCAGCTGGATTTGGGTTTTGTTCTCTCTAGCAGAGCGTCCAGCTTGTTGTTCACGATTTCAGCCTGACGGTTAAGTAGGTCTACGATAGCATCGATCTTGGCGTTGAATGACAGAGTGAATATGTTCAGCTGATCCTTAAGATCCTTGACAGCGTCAACCAAGGGCTCAATATGAATAGCGACGTCGACTTCATCCATCGCTCAGGGCGAACAGCGGTACGATGAATGAATGGCGGACTGTTGGAAGAGGCCGAAGAGGGAATATTGTTGATGGCAATGCTGATATGAATCACGTGGGGTATCATCGGGTCGGACGTCATTAGCATGAACGCTCTACTCTGCGCCCCCACGAAACAACAAATAAAGCTTGAATTCAACCGTGGGAGGGCGGCTAGTCGTAGGGCGCTAGCGTCGCCAGCACGAATCTTGCTGGTCGCTAGGAGCATACCCTTTGCAGATGCGCGTTGTGCGACACGCTTAGGTGCCTAACTGATATTTCACAGGTATATTCTCCTTTCATGGACCTCCGACTTTTACACCAAAACCAAATTCATGAATATAGAGTCAAACATGGATGGTGTTATATCTCGTCAATTTTACTGGAACCAGTACACTTCCTTGTCATTTCCTCACCTGAGAGGCTTCCCTCAAACACAGCAGCATTTGGAAGCACAGATACCGTAATGTTTCCACCAGTTTTCTTCGCTGTCGCTAACTGAAAATTGTGGATATGGACATTGCACCGGTTGTACAGAATGTCCCATAAATGTTGCACCACATTTTGAGCTCAAATTCTACAGGTGTTTATAGGTCTTCTTCCGAGATTCGCAGACCTTTTGATCGTCTATACTCTTAAGAATGGCCATTAAATCCACGGCGTACCGCTCGCTACATATCAAATGCGCTCTAAACTTTCACATAAGTTGTACGTCGGACATCCGTATTAAAATCCACTTCTCGAAACTAGGGGGCCTATTGGCGACATGTAGAAGAAGCCATCAATGTAGCTTTATGCCGGCATCGTGCTCCAGAACTCTCAGAAAAAGCATGAAGAAGCGGATCGACTGCGATACCCAAATTGGCTCGGGAAAGGTGACCAGAACGCTGAGATTTCTGAACAAAATTATATGAAGAGTGGTCTTATAACAACTGCTTACATGCCATTGTAAGCTGCAAAAGCGCCACTGCTCAATCGAAACAGAGATGCATCAGAGCAAAACTTTGAAGAGTCTGTGCCAGAATACCGAGAAGGCCACGTGGGCACCATTGTTCGACGCCAAAATAAATTCCCACTGTAGGGCGAAGCCACAAGCTACGCTCCCATGAGATCCTGAGGAAGCCTATGAAAAAGGAAGGAAAATTTGCTTCACTAGCAGCCGAACCTCATCACGATATGGATAGGGTCTCAACTACGATCGTTAACCACCAATGCTTTCAAAAGGAATACAACTTACTACTGGACGTAGCTAAGGGATATCTCGGTGCACCATCTGTTACTAAAATATCTAGCCACTTTGTGAAGGATTGATATTCTTTCCAAAAGGACCCAGCTTCTGCAGAGCAGGCGAAAATTAATCAGGAGCGGTGTTGAGCTACTCTTTTCGATTTCACGTCCTCGAACGGAAGGCTCTCCTATCCCTTGATTCCAACGAGCTGGACAATCCCAGTGGGCGGTGTTAGGGGGGCAGAGCCTGCACTAAAAGTTGCATCAGCATGAATGAGTCGGAGCTTTCTCTGCAAAGTTTCGAAGAGAACACTCCATGATGATTTGCGGGTCGCGAGTTGCATTCTAAGCAACTGGGAGCCATATTCACAGCAGTAGAGGAGCATATCGAATAAAGCCCATTCCTTTCAATATGTAAATGTATGGTCAAAAATTTGTATAATCTATTGAAGATACATTCATTCAGAAAGAAGTTTACAAGTAAAGAAAAGTGGTGCAATATTTACGTCACACTCTGTGTAGTGAAAAAGAACAGCAACTTAGCAAAGGGAAGGCCTTACACGGTACCACCAATCATATGATTCCAAGAAAAACTGCAACATTACTCACAAGGTATTAGCTAGGTGACTTCTAAAATTACTCAGGTCCGCTCCAATTTCTGTGAGCATTTTGCGGCTCGGATTGGATGAAGGTGGAAGAGAAGTATTCGCTAATAACTGTCCTTACCCGTTGTTCTTCCCTCATCGTTAGGGAGTCGTACTTTCACAGAGTCTACCTTTAGCGACAAGACGGATACAGTCACATATTTGTTAATTCACCCTCAGTCCCACTCCTACTCTTCTGCGACAGCAGTTTGCGACAAGACTCCTCTTCAGTCGTACATTCCAACAGCGTTGAATACAACAGATGCTGTTTTCTTCTGATACCGCACTCGACACCATTCGGTAAACATCTATGACTTGGCGTGCGTATCAGGTAGACCACGTACTGATCCGAGCTGTTCATTCAATACGAATCACGGAAGAGCCCCGGTGTTCTGCAGCGCTGAAGAAACACGAGAGATTGTCGAGTGAGAACCATTTGTTGCAACTATAACACTTCTCCTAATAACCGGAAGACATTCGGTAGATTTGACTCTGATCCTCTTTGGTTTCAGCCGTGACTGATCAGGAGCAGGTCTGCGGTGAGCAGATAGGTCTGTCAAGGAAGTTCTGAAATGCTTCTAGGCCTTTGAGGACGACGAATTGGTGGAAACGTTAGCTCAATAAAAGTTTCACTATAAAAAACCTGTTCGGCACAAAAGATTCGAGCACTATCTGTGCAAATTCCATGGTTTCGTGGAAGCAAATGTGGAGAATGCTGCCATCAGCTTTTCCAGCGAAGCTGTTGGAAATTGGAAAAAGCAATGAGCAAACTCGTCGACATCAATCCCACATTTGCAACATGAATGGAGCTATACAGGGTCTGTACATTACAGGATTATTGTGAGAGGAAGCTCACGCAACACGCTGAAGCCTCTTTATAGGGATTCCATGATGCTGCTACATCGTTTTGGTTCCGAACAAGTTCTGCTAGGTGCTCGCTTTGCATATGTTCACCGGAGCAGCATGTTAGAAAGGCTACGAGAGATACGTAATTATTGTATCGGTTCCCCAAAAACTTGAACTAATTGCTTCAGCCACTCGATAGTTGGAATATTTTCTGAAACACTTACGTCCACAGCAGACTGTAGAAGGCACACAATAGGATCAATGAAGCCACCATGTACCCAGCGAGATAAATGTACTGCACTGGGCGACTGCATTACACGACTCTAAAAATGAATACAATGAAGTTTCAGGGTTTTCCAATGTAACGATCACAAAGAAGCTTGTCTGATCAAAGAACGCACGTGAGGAAAATCAACAGCATAGTTACTTCTGCAGTGCTCGAGATGTGCACGTAGGAGCGTCAAATCCGCTCCCAGTTCCTCGAGGCCCGCGCCTTTTGCTCCACCAGCAGAACCAATCGCTTGAGAAATGTAATGTCTAAGACGCGTGAAGTCGATCTATAATAGGATAGTAGTGGCATGCTTGACCCTCAATCATGCAAATCAAATGACCCACAAACTCTTTTTGTGTGCTTGTCCGTAAGCTCTCGATCTCTTGCTCTATGTTTTTCTCAAAGGATGGTATTACTGTGAGATCGCGATTATCGCACAATGAATCCCACTCTGAAAACTACTTCGTTGATGACGGAGTTTACGATAATAAGACAGCCCACTATGAGTCAAGGTAGAGAGGTTCAGCGATGCAGGGACGGAGGAAAAAAATTATAAAAACAGCCTAGATCCCGAGAGGGATACCTTTTGCCCGTTGATCTGCGCGCTGGGCATGTCCCATCGGTGCTGACTTTATCAACGCTAACACTCTCTATGAGCGGCTAGAGCAGACGGCGAGGAGGTGGGGCGGGGAGTGACGATAACGGCACGTAGACGGTCACGCTCGATGGACCTGGGCATATCTTTCACCGCGAAATGCGTGTCGGTCTCCACTCTTAGTAGGTCCGCCCGTCTCTCCACTATATGAATTTCCTCTTCTTCAACCTCCGCCCTTATCGTGGAAACCTCCCCTAGCATCCTGATATCCTACCTAGATCGTGAAGTATTCTAGCGAACGAAGAAAACTTGCCTATTGTGTCGTCACTGCCGTGCAGAGTACTAACAGCCTCATCTATATTATCGATGGCGAAAAGCGCTGACAAATATCGATGAAGTTCGTTAGACGCAATAGACTGAAAGTCGACAATGTACAATGAGCAACCTATCAAGCTATCTTTTTGAAAAAAAACTGTAAAACGTTCACACCATGGCAGATTTTCTCATTTTATTCGCAAGGGCAACCAGATTTGGTACTTGCATGAAGGCGCCGTTTCGGTAGGCACCAATCAAGGCTTCGCTGATCTGAACAATTAATAATCAAAATTAAAAGGTTTTGAATAATAAATTGCAAGATATCCGCTCATGGGTCCTTACCTTAAAGTCCTGCAGCTGCTTAATGATTAGATTACAGGGCATTTCTATCGGCGGAGACAGTAACTAGAAACTCACATACCGTGTCTAGAGAGAGCCTGACTGACTATTAGGTCGTGAAGAAAGTTCTTGCGCTTTTCGGTGTTTCGTTTTTGAACGCTTTATTTTGTTACGAATTCAAGCAAGCTGCCAATGAGCTGTATGTGGTTTTGAAGAGCTTTTCTTGTTCTATCTAACAGCTAGGCTAGCTATGTTCCTTATTATTTAGTTGTCATTTTTTGAAGCCTTGAATACGGCATACTCCAAGAGCAAATTTGCATGATTTCCTTTTTCTAGCTCAAAGCAGGCCAGTATGGAGAGGAAGCAGGTCAAGATATTATAGATGCACTTGGCTGAGATTCGCAATAAATATGGTCTGAAGCAATTGTTCAAAAAGCTTTTGTAAGAATAGCGAGAGCCCTAAAGATTGTGAGGGTGGTGATCGGAGATTGGACAACGCCAACGATTAGTCGAACGTTCTGGTTGAAGCACGTTTGCACAAATCTATTGAGAGGGTTCCTCCTAAACTAATCGCACTTGCATTGTTTTCTTGTTGTACGGGAAGAGCTGGAAAGTCCCAAAAATTCAAATAGGGCGTGCCGCGACAGCTCACCATTTTGAAGGGTCGTTCGCCGCGTTCTAGCTTGTTTCATGCCATGAAAACGACCTGACTTTTTGATCATTTGCGACGCACGACAAAGAACGGATTCTTTGCTACAGAATACGAACCTTTGGTGAAGTGATCGACCGCGATCAGGCTCTACAAACTTTGCAAAAGTGAAACTTCACTGAAGGAAGGTTGAGGTGACTTTCATAAGGTCAGCGGCTGGTCTAGCTTTTCGTAACCAGGTGGATCTGTTAATGTGGAAAAAGTACTCCTGATAATGTGTCAAACTACTCCTAGAACTCTGGCACATATGCTCGAAATTCCTCATTATAAAGGAACCGGCTCGTCCCTGACAGGTAGCTCGGGCCGACTGGAGCTCGTCCGACCCGACCCACACCTTCGTCCGCAAGCCCCACCCTCCGCTGTCGGTTGCCACGTGGCGCTGCTTGAAAAGCGCGGGCGCATTTGAGGCAGCGGTCCCATTGCGACCCAATGTCATTGGCACTGGAGCAACTAGAGTTAGGTTCGTGAAACTCGTCCAACGCGCCCCTTCTCTATCCCAAGGTGGAATGCGGCTGAAATAGGGAGGTCTCTGTGCGGGGCGTAATCGGTGGTTTCGTTTGCTTTCCTTCTCTTTTCCAGACCACCTCCCACCTCTAGCTTCATAACTGAACGCTTTTCCACACCTATTTTATCCCGAATCTTGCCTTCAACATACAGTCCGGCCACCTAAATGTGGTCGAATTCTTTGTGAGAATCCACCAAAACAATAGGAGGACCCTTCAAGCAAATGGATCAATGACAACTCTAGGGAGCTTATGCGGCAAGAACAATGACTTGACTAATGGTGTTCGTTTGGGACACATGGTAACCAAGAGGACAGATGATGTAAGTGAAACATACCTCTTTCTCGGCTTGTTCGTAGACGTCGACCATCTCGGTATAATGAACAATTCCGACATTGAATCTGAAAACATGGTTCGTTTAGAAAATACAATTTAAAGGTATTATTCGGAGACCACAGCTGAGAGCGAAAACCAAAACCGAGGGTTCCGGATATTCGGTGATTCAGGAGGCTTGTAACGCAATGATCAGCAATGAGAGCCTATGTCAACGAAAGAGCATCCCCCCTAGCTTGAGTCGTTTGGACACGGTGCGCACACGAAGGTAGCGTGAATTACGATGTTCTGCTGTAGTCACGTACAATGCGCGACGCATTGACGCGCTGAAACGTGTGCTCGCCTCCCACTTTCGTTTTCTCTGCGCTCTCTCAACGAAGAGAGAATGCGTCGAGCAAACTCGCCAACTATACTGAGCGCCGTTCATGTAGGAGGTGGAGGATGGCACGCATGTCGGATTGGCCTCGCGTAGGATGGGGCGGCACCCGGGATGACCTCCCTTGGCACGCTTCGCGCGAAGGTCAAGGGTAATTCACGATTTACGCTCCACCCCCCCCCCCCAGGGTCAATCCTATGTTGCGACAAGTACCTAACGGGGGGTCGTATTTTGTTGCGTTTGCAGGTAGGTGAGGGGTCGTATTCGATGTAATCTTAGAATTTAGGGTGCGTAGTGTGAAGGAGCGGGAAAACGGCAAAAATTTTGTCGTTTCACTGCACGTATATACCCCCCACTCGACGGCTGTTCTGAAGGGAAAAGTGGGTGGAGTTGGGTGTGTCGACTGTTCTCAGAATTAACACATTGACGACAACGCGAGTTTTGGCTTTTTTGGCCACGTGGGACCGCGGCGATTTTGCGGGCGCGCTCGCCTCAGGTCGTTCAAGCAGATTTTGAGTGATAAATACACAATAATGATCAATTCAAAACCAAATCAGTAAATTGTAATGAGCACAACCTACCAGGGGTACAGTAGTGGAATTTCGATCGAAAGACATGGAATAACAATGAAAAAGCGAAATTTGTCAGAACTAGCTGCAATGGACCTCAAAAGCAATTTTACGTTGATTATTCCAATCAAAACACACATATTGTCATCCCTAAGGTTCCGTATCTACTTCTACTACTATTTAAATCTTCACATTCATAAAAAGAAAAAGTAAACGAAAAATTTATTGAAATGAAGATTTCGTATGGTTCAGAAATCCTCCTCTAAATTAAAGCATACGTGACCATTCTAAGGGCCACTATGTTTGTAGCTACGTCAAGGTCTCTTCCATGGAATGAATACAAGAAACTTCTAAAGAATCAGGCGTGCGCGAAAAAAATGAGTGTAATGGGTGCGGGATATATATCCCGCACGGTCCGACATGGCCTGCAATGCGCGGGATATATATCCCCCGCGTTGTCGTCAATGTGTTAACACATTCACGCCGATGGCCGCCCATATGGGCTGCCAACAACATGCGCTCCTGGGACGATGGCAGCCCATATGGGCTGCCAACTGATAATCGCTTGCCAGGCGCTAGGAATGGACAGATAGGTGGGCAAACCTCGTAATCGAGTGTAAAATGCTTTTAAATTCCTTCACGGGGAAAGTGAATAAATGCTCTCTTTTCGTAACCACTATTTGTCGTTCTGATCGAAATCCTTATATGTTTAGATAATCTTTACGCATTGGACATTGCAGAAATTATTTTGTGACATTCATGTTTTTGTTCATTTACAAAACAAAATCTGCGGTTATGTGGTGAGGCGGCGGCGCCCACAAAATCGCGTCCGTCCCACGCGACCGAAAAGTGGAAAAGGGGCGTCGTCGTGAATGTGTTAGATACTATAGAACAGCCACCATGATGGCGAGGGTAGTGAAGGGGGGGGGGAGTCGTGAAATTTTTGGTTGGAGGGAGGGGGTCGCAAAAAATTTCCAAAAAGTCGGGATGGTAGGACCGACCCTGCCCCCCCCTCCATGAACAGACATATTGATTATTTTTTTCGAGCAAACAATATTGCTCCATTCCGACACTTGGTAATGCAAGGTAGCAAGACCAACCATTTTCAGGTCTTCCTTCATTGTGTTGCTGTCATGGCAGAGCAACCCAAGAATGCCCACGTAAAGGAGCTGCTGCTGAGAAAATTGAGATCGCCCTGCTCTGAATAACGACGCCAACTTTGACCTGAGCGACACACTTCGCTCTACTTGACTACGTTAACGTTAATGAAAAGAAAACGAGGAATGAACTGAACAGACATATCCGTAAGGTCTGGAAAACCTCTGGCAAACTGAAGAATATTTGGCCTTTCTGTGAGCCACGTGGTATTTAACACGTTGGAGACCGCGCATGTTTTACGTTTCTCGGCCGCCTGGGACTTCAGTGGATTTTTTAAGAGTCTTATTGAGCAAATTGAGAACAAAAACCTATTCAGTGATCTAGACGAAATCTTATTGCATGAAATGGGAAGAAGAAACAAAAGAAAAACTGAGTGCTTGTTTCCAAAATATGGGTCGTAGGGTACCACACGGTTGACTGACTGCAGCCCATATATGGGCTGCATGGGCTCCAAAGGGTTAAGTATTCCAACGTATGGTCTATAGAATGAGTACAAAGACCTTAGGAATAAGTCGCACAAGCGCAAGAAAAAGGGATGACTTGGGTGGGACGCGTTACCGCGTCACAATGTCCCACGAGGTGCGCAAAGTGGGACGCGTTACCGCGTCACGCTGTCGTCAACGTGTTAATAGAACCAACCGACTGAACACTACTGCTATCATTTCTGTATTGTTGTTCATATTCTCGGCTAGAACTGCATATTTGACATCCTGCCCTCTCAAAACACCTTCGAAGGATCCCGTTCGAACTCATGGGGAGATGAGGCGCCTTAAGGCGTTCCTAGGTCTAAATTGGTGCTTACATGGCAAAGGAGCCACCCTGCATGGAACCCTGCTACAACCTATTTTAATACACTAACGCCTAGGAAACTTGTGTTATCAAGAAATCCATGTAGCTCTATTCACAATTAAAAGGCATAAAATTTACCTCCCACAAAGTTCTGGCAAAGGAAACATAATGTAGCCGAGGGTATCTCGCTGCACAGATTTGATATCAAGAGAACGAGTAAGAGCTACCAACCGATACATGCAGCCTACAAAGGGGAACGACATCAACAAAGAGTAAACGCCTTGCATTACGAGAAAAAATGAATACTGTAAAAATTTTAACTTACCAATGTGGGAGTATGCGCGACATAGCACAAGTTTGCAGAAGGGATCCGTTGGATACTCATTCGATGTCCACTCAAGCAGCAAGATCATCTCATAGAAGGATTGCCAATCATCTTAATATCTGTTTTGTATGTATGCGAGAAAAAAATTATATATGAAGAGATTCATTCATTTAAATAGCATAAGCGTAATTTCTTGTTAACTTTTATGTGAGCTTTCCGCTGATCAATATGGCACTATTAAAGAAATCCTTGCTGAAAATCCTTGCTTTTTTAACGATGTGAATATGTCAGTTGTGATCACTAGAGACAACAAACAAAGTTTCCACGCATGAAGATTCAGTTTCCGAAGAGAAACAAACTTACGAAAACCACACTCTATGGACATCGAAGGTTACTTGGGCAGAGTCAAGAGAGCATAGGAAAGAAGTGCGCACTGGGGCGGCCACGTGTTGGCGACGCATCAAATGAATCTGACGAAAACGATCATCTGGAGAATATAGACAAAACCTTCGATAGAATAGGATGCAGCGAAAGTGTGAGATGTTGTTATAAGACAGAAGGTCAAAAAGAGTTGCTACCCACGGCATTCAGAGAAGCGAGTGGAAGCGTTCCCACCGCCACAGTTGTGACAGATGCGGCGGAAATTTGAACGCGCAAAAGTCCTTCCATTTCTCAAATTATTTATTATTTATCATCCTTTAATACTTGGCTCGACCTCTCGATGAAAAGGACGCTCACTTTCTTCACAGATTTGTTGCATGAATTTGCAAAACCTTGCACGATTGCCTAATCAAAAGCAGGGGCCGCGATCACATTTTAGAACAATTCTGTTCGTTCGGTAGCAGGCTACTTAACACGTTGGCGACGATGTCGGTCAATGCTGACCGACAGGCAGTCTGTCACATGGGACGATGTCGGTCAATGGTGACCGACAGCTTGAAAGTAAGCAAACTTAGATGGAACCCGCGACTTTTCTATTTCAACGTTTACTTCAGTGTCCTAACTTACTACACTTGTCTGCGAATTATGATCTTTCTAATTCCTGGGAGTTTTATTCTGAATTAGTTATCAGTGGCAGAAACGCGCTGTCAATTGAATCACAACCACAAAGTTCCCACCGTCAGCAAACTGGAAATCTCACTAAAATTGTTCATATCGACCTTTACTAATTAGGTCACCGTCAGTAGAATGTCCATTTCTAGCCTTAGGTTCCCATGATGGTCAAGTAGGCTCAGTCTTACTCATAGGCAGGACAAAAGTACCTATCCAGTCCATCAACTGCCAAATATTTCACAAACAAGTTTTTTGACCTTGAAATGACTCGTTTAAATCTCTTATTCGATCATGAAGAACAAGATAACAGTCAAACAAAAGCTCATTCCGTCAGGTACGCAAAGTTTTTTGCGTCGTTCTTGAGTGAAAAATTCGAAGATTTCAGATGTGATCAGGATACCAGTACCATCTAAAGGAAAGCTCATATTAATAATAAAAATGAAGAATGCGTGAAATTGCGCCTTCAGAACCTATTCTAACCTGAGGTTTGAAAATGCCAGGCGATGTCACTGAAATTTCACCCAGCATTCAGTAGTAACAACTTTTCCTTGTTTCTAAACGTGTCTGGAGTACTCTAGTCAAAGGTTTGTGCATTTCGAGATTTTACAGAGCTACAAAATAAGTTTTGCCCTGTTGTTACCGGCGCTTTGCATGCAAAAAACGCCTCGTCCCATGCGCGCGACAAGGAAAAAATCGCTCGTCGTCAACGTGTTAAAGAAATTTTCCACGGAAAGGCAGATCATTCTTATCTGTTAGGTATGATCATTGAAGACCGTGTGCAAAGTTTGGAGCGAAAAGAATGAAATACCCAAAAGATACAGCACCTGGGAAGGCTCACCTGTAGGACCGGAATGGACCAGTGGGCGGAACCGGAAGTGCTTTTGTGACGAAGTGCATGGCAGGTGCGGATCCACGTGCAGTTTATGGGAGGTCCAACATGAATCCTGTTCACGCTTTTCGACACGTTTGCACGTGTTGACTCCACGCCGCTAACAGTTGTGGAAGTTTTACAGCGGGAATTCAAATTTTCATAGTCGAACTGGTTATCATAATTATTATCAAAACCATCGCTTATGTTCCGTTCTTTTTGCTATCTTCATGAGGCAAGGGGCCTAAGGTGTTTTTTTTTCTGTGGAATGAAGGACGGAGTTTTTCCGTGGAAGACTCCTTTCAACTAAAGGAGTCGTGGCATTGTCGCAACAGAAATGTGTATGACAAAAGCTCTAACGCCTTTCATCTACCGCTTTAGCATTTATATTTTTTCCCTTGCAAAGTTTTCTCTCGCACATCCCCTCTCCTGGGCGCGCTGTCTGTCCGCCGTATCACGACCCACTAATTTTTTTTCTTTGCTTTTTTCTCCACTGAGGGTCATCTTCGCCAGTGTTTTCATTTTTAAACCGAATAACACACCAATTTGATCGCAACCCGTGTTCTAGAGTACAGGGTGGCCTATGTATAGGACGCCATGTTTTGTGTGTAAAAGCCAAGAAAGAGACTCGATCAGGAAACCGACTTCACACAAAGATAGAGTTAAGCTATTTGATCACTTGTGCAGAAGGTGCTTTGAATTTGACGACTCTAATTGGGAGAGGCCTTCTGATCAGCAGTGCGCCGCAGGTAGCCAACGGTGATGTCTTCTGAAGCGCTAACTTCAGAGCACCCACCGAGCTGGAGAAGTCTTATGAGGTCTTGCTCTACAACATCCTCACATAGAGGAGTCCATCGGGTTAAGGGCCTGAGAGGAAGAAGGTCACAATTCCTTGCTCCAGTGGCCCGGGAAGTGAGCGCCCAGGATGGCTTTGGTCGATTTGAACGCGTATTAGGGAGCCCAGCTTCATTGAAGAGCAAACGATCATTGAGCAAAATGCTCGTAAATCCAGAACAACATACCGTACCTCATTAAAGTCTTTTGCAAGACCTTCGAGTTAATTTTAACATTTGTGGAAGATGAACTCCAATGGAGCTGCACTTTTGGATGTTACCCCGTCACAAACTACCACACCTTCGGGAGAAAGTCTGTTGTAAACTAGACGTTATCTCGGAGACTTGCTCTCACTTTTTGGCAACAACTGCCTCTGACTTTGGTGGTCGCAAAGAAGTTTAGTTCGAAAATTTTCTCATTAACCCAATCCGTAAGAGAGATGCGGCGCACCTCGAGCTCGTGCAGAAACTTTTTGCATTTTATCAGTTGAATCTATTCGGGTTGCTCCAATAAAAACCAGCATAGAAAGAGTCGGTAACCCTTCAAATAATGATTGCTTCCCAAGATTTTCTGGAAGGAGTGACGGCAGATCCTGAGATCAAAAGCGATGTGACTCACGCTGGCTTCATCGTTGTGAGCCATCCTCTTCTAGGTGATTGCCCCAATCCTCTGAGTGTGCACAGTTCTTGAACTTCCACTTTTCGCAATCCCAGAGACGTGTGCTTGAACCTTGAGAGCACCGAACATGTTTCAAAGAGTTGAAGAGGGAATACCGAGTCGCTTTCCGAAGTTGCAATTTCAGAGACCGTCATTGGGCAGCCTCTTGGTAATGGGTCGATGCAAAAAAATCTTCATGGCGAGAGTTCAGATGAACTTTGGACCAAACAACTTATGGTGCTTCTTACATAGTTTCAAAGCTTTCGAAGAGTTTCGAAACACTCTGAAAATACTCCACGGCTCAGTGCCAGCAAGCGGTCAAAGCCGCGTCCTATACTTTTCGGCCACCCTGTAATCACAAAATAAGATAGAATAAGCATACCATGAACTTTCCACTCATTCCAGAGGATAGCAGCTGCCAGCTGGGCCAACGCAGTTCCCGCCAATTGCTCTCGATTAGGCTGCAATAAGTTCACACTCAACAAAACGATAATGATGATGATGAATTTTCGTCACCGTAGCTTGAATAAAAACCAACTACCTTACTCATGGCGAAAAAGTTTCCAACACACTTGATCAAGGGTCTTACGTTTGTTGCAAAAAAAGAACCGATAGTTTCGAGTTTGTTTAGTACCCATAAATGTGGCCGCAAAGATGTCAGCGCCGCTACCAAACTACTCCAAAGGAATACACTGGAAAAACATCCCCACTACAAGATCGAGTGTACCAAAATGCTCGCTACAGGGCGAGGCTCTACCTGAGACCAGCCAGTTTATGCAGACACCCACTTCACCACACTGATCTGAACGCATTCAACTTCAATTCAACTTTCGCGCATCAACTCTTGACTGTATAGGTCCAGCTTGCAAGCGTGGCCGCTTTAATTTAAAACCGTAGATTTTGAACGGTGAACATAGAAAACGTGGACGGCACCAAGTAATTTCAAAAATGTTCAGTACGTTAAACTTATGGGAAGATATTACCCATCTACGAGAAGAAGAATTCTGCAAGGCGTGTTGTGGCTATTCGAATTTTTAACGCGGTTGTTTCAGGGATGCATTTACCTTGCCATTCGTGGTTTGCCTTTCATTCGTCCTACCCTTTTCTTACTTTATCAAATTGACCAATAAGTAGTGTCACTTCTTTCAGATGGAAAATTTTCTGCTGAAATTCTAGGTTTGTATGCTATCTTATATCTTTTACGTTGCTACGGCAAACGCAAGGAAAAAAGAAAAATAACTATAAGAAATAACATGAAAGCCAAACATGAAGACAAGCAAGTAGCAAGTAAGAAATTAGCCAAAACTAGTATGTCGGTCCATAATTTTTGAGACACTTTGGGTGTTTTCGACTTAACACATTGACGACAACGCGGGGGATATATATCCCGCGCATTGCAGGCCATGTCGGACCGTGCGGGATATATATCCCCCGCACCCATTACACTCATTTTTTTCGCGCACGCCTGATTCTTTTAGAAGTTTCTTGTATTTATTCCATGGAAGAGACCTTGACGTAGCTACAAACATAGTGGCCCTTAGAATGGTCACGTATGCTTTAATTTAGAGGAGGATTTCTGAACCATACGAAATCTTCATTTCAATAAATTTTTCGTTTACTTTTTCTTTTTATGAATGTGAAGATTTAAATAGTAGTAGAAGTAGATAAGGAACCTTAGGGATGACAATGTGTGTTTTGATTGGAATAATCAACGTAAAATTGCTTTTGAGGTCCATTGCAGCTAGTTCTGACAAATTTCGCTTTTTCATTGTTATTCCATGTCTTTCGATCGAAATTCCACTACTGTACCCCTGGTTAGGTTGCGCTCATTACAATTTACTGATTTGGTTTTGAATTGATCATTAGTTGTGTATTTATCACTCAAAATCTGCTTGAACGACCTGAGGCGAGCGCGCCCGCAAAATCGCCGCGGTCCCACGTGGCCAAAAAAGCCAAAACTCGCGTTGTCGTCAATGTGTTAATCACTTATATTATTTCCCTCATGTATAATGGTGTACATCACCATTACCATCAACATGTCACCAATGCGAGGGTGGGTGTTCAATGTCTCTCTTATAGAATTTCATAGAGTTCTGATCGAAGAAATATTGGATGTCGATTTTGACTTTATGGTGATTCAAGTGAGATTTCTTCTCCAGAAGGTGATTGAGAGAGGAGAGCGGATAGTCGTTCGAGACGCGCGTACATGTCCATAATGGTGCAAAGGATTGGAGAACAGCGATTTTGGAAGCGGCAAAGGAGATTTCAGATAAAATGTGGTTATTAATTTATTATTGCTAGTTTTTAGACTTCTGACTCCTTGGAACAAAACAAAGTGAATTGATGCTCATATTTATTATTATTACTATTGCTATTATTATTATTATTATTATTATTATTGATTATTATTATATTATTATTAGTCACTACACTTTCTAACTAGGTTAGAAAAATCAAGTGAAGGAACACACAAAAATAGATATCCAAAATATGTTCAAATCTCATAAGGAACTATATAGACTTATTAGTTATGTATCTAGACATTCTTCTACAATACGAAGCAATTTGTGACATAGGCGCTTTTATTTAATACGCTGAAATGGTCCCCCGTCAACACGGCCCGTAGAGGCCCCTCCTGTAAATTCTCGCTCGCATCAAAAACAAACGTCTATGACAGTCATCGTACGTCTAAAAAGAGTGGTCCCTGTATCATAAATTAGAACTTGATGACACCAATATCGACACTGTCATTTCTTCCATAGTTTGATCCCTCTTCTTCTCCCTATGTCTCTGTTCGCCAACGCCCCTCGTGTACTCTTGAGTTTCATCAGGAAGCGTAATCAAATCTGACACAATAAAATAGATATATCGGAATCCATTGCAGACCAACCGCATCGCTCCCGCTTCAATATCCCATTTTGCATTTTCTGTCGCTGCGAGGCTGTACATTGTCGTTCCTAAGCAGCTGCCTCGCGTACGCATGGAGAGGCAGCGACTGCGATAAGTTCATGTTAACTATGTTTTAGGCGTGTATATCATACTAGAGGCAGAACATTTAGAGGGAGGAGTATGATTTCCAACGCATAGCGAGAAAGATCAATAGTAACACAATGGAAAACGATACAGCTAAGCACTGTAAAAGATTTATCGTCAAATTTCATTGTCCGGGATTATGTGAGACGATGAAGTTGTCCTGGACAATATGTGATTATATGTGAGTCCTCACTGCTCCAGTGAAAGGCTTCCGCTAAGTTAGTAGTCCTCAACTCCTTTACACCCCACTTGCACCAGATATCTTTGAATGGCCCGTCTAGCCAATTAGCCTTTAGGTAGTCAAGGAAATCTTGACACTTCCTATAAGCGTCGTGATTTCGGGGTACTGGGGGATTCTGCAGGGCTGGGACTTCGGGAAGCAAACCTGGCGGAAGAAATACAACTCCTGCAACACCTACATTATTCATATAAACAGACAAAAAAAAGTTTGCGCTACCTTTGATAGTCTGCCCACCATTCTAGGATACGGTCATCCCTTTCATGCCCTTGTATGTGTCTTCGCAACGCCAACGTGTCCCGTTTCTGTTCCACGCTTGAGCAAGATGGAAGGAACATCCTTCATTCGATGCGTTTGGGAATACTCTTTCCGCAGCATGGATTGCAGCCCTCTCAAAATCGAGAACGATACGGCGAATTGTCGCACCCCGCACATGTTTCTTTCACATGTTCAAAAATTTTCTTATATACAGCACGAGTTTTCTTCTCCGAAATGGCGAACAGCAGAGGGACTGCTACTTCGTGACTACACACTCCGTGCACAGAATAGAGTTGGGCATGGCGACCCAAACTTTTGGGATGCAAGGAATGCATGCCGTCGGCAACGATTGCATGTAATCCACTCTCACGAGCCATCTGAAAGTGCATCATGATCCTGGCGGGACTCAATAAAACTGTGCAGTAATTAAGCAATTTCTGGTCCATCCAAGCCTCGTCTCCGACTTTCTTTTCTCTCGTCAACTGGATGCAGGCAAACTTCTCCGTTCTTGGCTCGCTCGTAATTTTGAGACCGCATAGGCTGCCTGTTGCGTGCCCGGAATCCTGTAGAGTAGAACGTGGCGCTCCCTTGTTGACTTGCAAAGGATCTCTCCCACGAACCGTTCTGGTTGCAAGGGTGGTCCTCTTTGAACGGTAGCGGGCTGGGGAGACTGGATGGTTGCAGATTCGTGGTGTGAAGCAACAGCGGAAAGTGTAGATGGGTCATGCGGTTGAATGGGGCTTTCGAGTACGAAATATGAAGGCGACGGTGTTGGCAAAACAATCTCAGGTGGGGCAGGACATACGAAGCATGAAGGGGAAGGTGCTGACGGAAGGGTTTGGGGAGGAGGTGGGCCTTCGAAATATGAAAAGGAAGGTGCCGGGATTGGGGCTTGGGGAGGGGCTAAGGTGTCGAGGTAGAAGGGCACGGCGTCAGCAGATTGTGGGTCGAAGTGGGAGAAATAGGTGTCGGAGAACATGGCAGCACAGTGGTCTGGCTATTACAAACAGTCGCTAATGAGTGCTCACTTACCTGCTTAAATGACCGCGAATGACCTCTCAAGAGGGTGTGAAACTTGGCCTGGAGACTTTCTAGGTCATATTTGAGGTGTGAAAGGTCAACAAGCACATCACAACAATAATAATAATAATGAATCATAATAATAATAACAATAATAATAATAATAGCAATAGTAATAATAATAAATATGAGCATCAATTCACTTTGTTTTGTTCCCAGGAGTCAGAAGTCTAAAAACTAGCAATAATAAATTAATAACCACATTTTATCTGAAATCTCCTTTGCCGCTTCCAAAAATCGCTGTTCCTCCAATCCTTGTTGAAACATGGACATGTACGGCGCGTCTCGCCCACCAGATAGCTGGCGCCCAATCGCCAGCCAGCACTAATTAAGTGCCAAGATTAGAGGTCACTTCGCACCTAGTCGCGACGCAGCACTAATTTAGGTGCTAAAATTTCCATTCGCACCACTTGATACACACCCAGCCTTAGGAACCCCAAAATGAAGGAAACTTCTACATCGGAGTGAAACTTTGCGTGTAAAGTTGTTTTGCACGTTTTCTATGCACTTGCATCCATTTTCCTGATGGGGTGAAAATCGGTAGCGCCAGCCTCAATAAGGGGGCGGATATATGTCATTTAAACCTGGAAAAGGATAGATTGATTCGTCGAGGAGAGTCCCTTGAAGATATAGGACGTTCGCATGAGCGCTACGTTATATCGATTACGTATGTGCATGGAGAGGTCAAGTGTATTGGTGTAGGGAAAACCAAGTTCCCTCACTCCATTTACAGGTAAGATTGTGACTCTATCTAGTCCATATAGACAGAGAGCGAACCCAATTCTCGTACGCGTTGTCTTATGAAGCTGTCAGCGTTTAGTTCAGTAGATGCGAAGGTTAATAGCTCGCTAAAGGCCGTCCATATCCTTAGCTTGAATTATAGCTTCACAAATCTTAAAATCATCAGCAAAAATCTTGGTTGTAACATCAAATAACCATAGCTGGGAATCTCTGCAGTGAAAATATTGAACAGCACCGGTGAGGTCCCCCCCCTCTGCGACACTCCACTAAGCACTCTCCAACCTCAAATTAAGAGAGCCTACTCGGACCTGGAAGGCGGTGTCAGAGAGAGAAAATTCGATATAATCTAACAAGAGCAGGGTGAAAATCGAATATCCCTAGCTTCCAGAGCAGTGTTGTATGCGATACTCCATCAAACGCTGCAAAATCAAAATATATCACATAACATCATATTATCAGATTATTATCAACCAGTTGGCGCCGCACGCGTAGCGCGCACAGCAGAGTTCTGCGCCGATATGGGTTGATGCGGCACAAATTTTCAAATTCGGAACGTTAAACTACGGATCTTTGACTTCTAAGCTAGATTATATCCGCTCCATCCACCGATGGCTTCTGAACTCTTCCTCCTCGTCAACCATTTTCCGCTTTTTTCCGGTCTCCGGACTACCTCTACTCCGATTCATGAATCCTGTGGTAAACTCCGCTTATTTCGAAGCATGTCCCACCCACCCTTTCCTTCCTTGTCAATCTCTTCCACGTCTTTTTCCTGGTCA